GAAGAACCAGAGTGAAGTTAAAAACTTCAGTGTTGACGACTGTCGTCATGATGAGGGAGGAGGAGGGTGTGTGTGTGTGTGTGTGTAGGAAGGTGATACGTAAAAGAATCAACAAAAGCACGTGGGGGAGACAGACTAAATGATTTTTAGAATTGGAGTGGATTCACAACAATCCAGAATATTCAGTGAATTTTCTAGTATTTTCTTCACTACGTCACAAATCTCTTCTGTGTAGTATTTGTCTTAAAAACCGAGTACAGCACAAACACCTAAAACAATTTACTGAATGAAAACAAACCAAAACAACATTTTGTTTATTCGCGGCTGCCATCACACTTCCTTCTATCAGAATAACACTCGCAGGAGTTTCCAAAGTAAGGCTCGGGGGTCCAATCATGGCACTTTGAATGGTTTGATCTGGTCCAAGACTTTTTTATTTTTTTAATTTCTGCCATCAGCAGTATATATATATATATTTTTTTTTCTAGTAATGTCTCTGTTTGGTATTTTTGCTAAACTTTGGTGGTTACAGAAAAAAGTTTTTTTTTATTTTTTAGGTTGGTGTAGCCGTTACCTGTGCAACCATTAACTGTACGCATATCCCTGTGCTTTTTTTTTTCAAACTTTCTTGGTGTTTCTGATAGGGTTTTTTTGGTTGTTTGTTTGGTTATTATTCACCGGAAGTTTTGGTATCTATGGGTAGATTGGAAGTTTCCCGAACCGTAACTTTCCAGAAGCCTAAAACGCTCGGACTCGCGGTGAATGTAACGTTAGGGTGAAAACGTGTGTGTGTCGCAGCTGCAGCTCCACTGTGAGCCGCAGCTCGGCCGCAGCCTCAGAGACTCAGTAATAGAAGCAGTGATGGTCTGACACTTGTTGAAACCCGTGCCTCAGGTGTCACACACATGTAAATGCTGCGGTCGCAGAGCAGCAGCGGTGGTGACGGCGCCCCCCGGGGGTCTTATCTTAAAAAGCCACACTCACTCGCCCAACTATTTTGATATGCCCTTCTGTTCCCTCTGAGGGGGAGGGGGGGGGGGTTCAAAGATACCTCACATTTCCAGGCGTATCCACCTGCACGTGAGTGACAGTCGGACACGTCTTCAAGAGACGACGGAGAAAAAAAGAAAACCTCGCTCCGACTCCTGACTGTTGGTTATTAGCCCCGCGCTCCGTGGTTCTGCTGTAACTGCCTATAAAGTGCACATTTGTCTAGTTCAATAATGGACTGTAATTGAAAAAAGAGGCCGAGCACACACACACACACACACACTCACACACTGCGCTGTGGAGACTCCCACGCACTCCCACGCTCCCTGAGAGTTTGTTCTGAGGAGCAGAGTTAACAAGAGCAGTTACACACACACACACACACACAGCCGTCTGTGTGTGTGTGTGTGTGTGGGTGTGGGCGTGTGTGTGTGTCTAACTTCTTAACTCTCACTGTCACTGATCTCCGTCTCCTGTTTCACTTCATTCATCTGAAGTATGTGTGTGTGTGTGTGTATGTGTGTGTGTGTGTGTGTGTGTGTGTTCACTTCGCCACCGCTGACATGACAACACGCCTGTTACTGTAAGCGTCAACTAGGAGACTCCACCCCCAACACCCCCCCCCCCCCCCCAACCCCCCGCCCCCGGGGGGGTTTTAAAGGGTGGGGGGGTTGGACACGGCGG